TGAAAGAGGAATTTTTATTTTAACTTGTTTTAAAAAAGTTATAACAAATTGGATGTCTTATGCTGTCCCGCACTGTAGATATTAAAGATCAAGAAAAGTGACAATCTTAGAGCTTTGTTTGCTTCAGATGAATTTGGCCTTACGAGACTCATTGACCATGTTCAACAATATTTCGTTGACAATCACAAAGACTTTTTACAACAAAATCCTGCACGAATGCTTCATGTTGCTGCTCGTCATTAAGCTCTTGATGAGATTAAAAAATGATTCAAATAAGTACCTTTCACTTGATGAAGGAACGTTAATACTAATTCTTAAACAATATCGACCGATTTGGTTTGACCCAAAATTAGCCAATCATGATTAAGCATTATTTGTTGTTAAAATTTATTACAAAGTAAGTTGTTACAATACTAGTCTTTTAAACTTTGAATCCATAATTAAGTGTATAGAATATTGCAATATCTACATCTTAATTATTAGCTAAAGTAAGTTAAAAAGGTCATTTTCCTCAAAATTTGCTTCCGAATTCACCTTTACCCATCATACAACCGATCGTTCAATGACAAACCGATCGTTCAATGACAAACCGATCGTTCAATGATAAACCGATCGTTTAATGACAAACCTATCGTTCACTACCCGAAAATACCCGAACGTTTTAACAACTAATGATAGTGCTTTCTTTTACTGCTTAGCGTAGCGGATTTTTTGGTATTTATCACCTATTTATCTCAGATACAATCTCATATAGAGGCTAAAAAAAAAGCTTTTTATTGGATGGTTGTTATTCTTCACGTCACTTAATGGCAAAAGTTCGTGTAGCAGTTTATCGAAAAAAGACCCTTAAAAATCAAAATATATGAATATGCATGATGGACTTGACATGGAAGAAAGCGAAATTTGTGAACGATTAAGCAAATGGAGAATTGCTCAAAATCCAGAACTTGAGAAATATGATGTGACTGAATTCAATCAGGATGATTTTAAACTTTTGGAGAAAACATTACAAATATTTATTCAATACATTCGATTTCATGATATTAGCATGTCAGATTTTTATCATAAAGTATTGCCATATATGTCTATCCTTCCAAGTAACTTATTCAATGACATTTTGCGCTGTTACATGGTTCCAGGAGCAGTACCTCTCTATAATGCACATCCTTCTAGGGCTAAAATTGATTCGATTTTGATTAATAAATCCCATGCATTATACTTTTCAGGCTGGATTGATAAACAAAATACTCCTTATGATAAAAATAAGCTTCCTTATAAATTTATTCTTTTATTCCGTGGCAGCAGAGATGGCTTTCAAGACAATGTATTTCATCAAAAATGCGATAATAAAGGAGCAACAATTTTCGTGGCGAAGATTCAAAATTCAAACCAACTTGTTGGTGGTTACGCTCCAGTAGATTGGGATACAAGTGGCCAAAATAAGTATTCAACCGATAGCTTTTTATTTTTATCAAATAATCCTACTGATTTATCAAATGTCCAATTAGGACGCATTTCATCTTCTTATGCTTCTTATGCAACATATTGTTATAGTAATTATGGACCAAATTTTGGTGCTAGTACTTTATATATTAATGGGCAATATATATATTATAGTGACAACGGGTATTATCCTTATATTGGCATTGCAAATGGTTTACAAATTGAAGATTATGAAGTATTTCAAGTAATTAAAAAGTAAACTCGTTATCTACACTAGTCTCAGACATATTTTTAGTCTATATTCATTCAGCAGGCTTCCAAACATAATAAATTAAAGAATTATATTCAATTAGTAATTATGTCAAATCATTTTACATATTTTCTTTATCATTGGTTTTATATCATAAAGCATTCTCTCGAAAATAAAAAATGATGGCAAATTTTGCATCTGATACAGTATTTAAGTTCTCATTTCAATTGTAAAATTGAAAGCTTCAGTTTGATCGTTTATCTACAATGTAAATGGTTAAATTGTACGGTTAATTACTTAGCACGTGCAAATGATACTAAAAGGTTTAAGAATGCCAACTTCACGGGTCAATAGCGGAATCCAGATCAAAAGGAACGTATAGACATGGCGTTACAAAGAGAAAATAAAGAAGACATTAATGCTATTATTGAAACATTCAAGGTATTAGAATATATCTTCATCAATCTTAGCGATAAAAAGCAGCATTCAAGTATCAATTTAATTAGCACTCACTCTATATTGTTATCATCCGCATTAATCTCGAACGAGATAACTTTGCTACTAATAACAAATATATAGGTATCATTAGGGATGGCAAATGTTTTAAAACGCGATTTTAAAAATCATGTTTGTTTGATTTAAATCTGTTAAAAAATGTTTTAATACATTATGA